CAGTTTTCTTGTGGAGTATGCGGGACACGGGATGTCCGCGAGCAGGCAGTACTACCATGCAAAGAAACGATCGGAGGAAGATCCTTTACAGTACCTGTATCGGCTTAATGTGATGGGAATGCAGGCGAAGATACCGGTGATGACTGGATTGCCAGCTGCGCGCAAGGAACATGTCAATCATTTCATTGACACCTTGGACGACCCCGATCTGTCCAATCAATTGCTACTGCTGAATGTAGAAGACGCGGAGGCCATGCAAAAGACACTGCACGGATATCAACAAGGGAGATCGCGTCAAGGGAAAGTGATGATGGGATCGTCCAAATTCAGGCAGAAGGGAACTCAGGGTCCAGCGCTGTCTAAGCCTGCACGAGCGGTAAGGATGGTCCGTACCGAGGACGTCTGCAGCGAGTCAGGATCGGACACCTGCGGATCGGATTTGGAAGATCGATTGAGATCGATCCATGTGGCTGCTACTGCGGATCGCCGTTCATCCCCCAATGACGTTGCAGCAAACGCGAGATCGGTCGACCCGAACACTCGTCAAGACTATCAAGATCGCAATATGCCATTGAAGCCGTGTACTCATTGCGGATCGACCAAGCATGGAGATCTCGGTTGCTGGAAGCGGCTCACTTGCCAGAAGTGTGGGCGTAAAGGACACCCCTCTGACAATTGTTTTTTTCGTGTGTCGTGCTTGCGGTGAGATGCACGACCCGGGGAAGTGTCCCATGGAGGAGTTCTACAACATGATCCGTCAGTGGTACGTCCCGAATAAGCATGCGGGGATGCTACCAGAGAAGGCCGAGAAGATGTTAAACTAGGACGCTCGCCAGGTTTGAATCTGGTACGAGCCGAGCGTTCTGGGCTCTGCATTATTGCATACGTGGAAAAAAGAAGACAGATCGCGAGAGTAAGCAGGATATTGACGTGGAAACAAATATATCTCGTTCGAAGTTAAAACGTGTCGCTTCCGTGTCCCATCTGAAGCGGATCGATGAGTACTCACGATCTGAACCAGCTATGGAGATCGAGCTCGCTTATGGTGAATCTCGCGGATACTGGAAACATTATTCACCCGGGAAGTGGTTCAAACAAGCGAAAGCCGTTGGCAAGATCAACAACGTAAAAGCTACTCTGTTATTTGATTCTGGTGCTGAAGTGTCGATCATTGACACCACCTTTGCTCGTGAGGTCGGTTGCAATATTGACGAAAGTCAACGACAAGAATGTATCGGGATTGGAGAAACTCCGTACATGACGGTAGGACGTACCAAGATCAAGGTGACCCTCGCGGGATCGCTGGTATACTATTTCAATGTATGGGTAGGCGATCTGGCAGGGCAAGAAGCGATTCTGGGTATGGATTTTATGGTGCCTGCTGGAGTGCGGCTCGATCTAGCGGATGGCGCGCTATGTCTACCAGAAGAAATCCGCATTCATCTCGCAGGACGTCGCCCCGCGTACGGATCGAAGATACAACATATAACGGCGAAGGACCAACACGTGGTGATCCCGGTCGGAGAGTCAAGGGAAGTGAAGATCGGGATCGGAGGGGCTAAGATGAAGTTGTGGGTCGCTAGAGGACTAGATTGGGTCCCCACTGTGATCTCGGGGTGGGGTAAGACGAAATACCTGCAGATGACCAACATTGGCGACCGGGAGATCATACTGCCCACCCACACTATATTAGGCATGTGGGTCGAAGGCGATATGGTACCGCGAACCCAAGGTTTGGTGACAGTCGGGTCGGGGAAGTACAAGGAATGGCAAACTCTGGCATATGAGGCTACAACGGATCGAGTGAACGAACTCCCGAAAGAACCGATCGGACCATTGGTAGATCGTCCTACGTATGCCGCTCCCAAACGCATCTTGAAACGTCCGTCTGATGCGTTACAGAACCTGTCTCCGGCGATCTCCACGGTAACGCCGCAAGCTAACGATGACGATTCGCAAAAGGCAGATGCTGTAGTTGCGAGGGAAGTAACGGTCAGGGGAGCCGAACTATCGCGGATGGAGAACGGTCATGAGATCGGTACCCAACATGCAACGAAGGGAGACCGCGACACCGGTCAAGAAGGGCTACGTGACAGATCGTCTCTACCGAAGGCTGAGCCGACTGACCGACTGTTGAAATTGGGCCAGCCGGAAGAGACGAAGGAGCCTAAAGAAGAAATAATGCTAAATACTGAAGACGTCGAGATTGCAGAAATACCAGTTTATCACCACGAGAGCGGAGATTTGTTTGCGGAAGATATCGAGCAGCATATGGCCGTGCTACCAGAGATGTCGGCGACTACGGAAGAAGTTACGATTGAGGACATTCAGATCGGTGATCCCGATGTGCCTCTCACCACAGATCAACAACGGCTCAGATCGCTGATCTGGAAGAGCCGTCACCTCCTCATGGGTAAAGGTAATGCTCTACCACCCGCAGCACGAGGCGCGATCTGTGATATTGATGTCGGTGGGGCAGCACCGATAGCGCAAAGAGTGCGTCCGGTCGCACCCAAATATCGGGAGAAGCTGTCAGATCTCATCAAAGGACTATTAGCAGCCAAAATCGTTCAGCCATCCACGTCACCTTGGGCGTCTCCGATAGTGGTGATCATCAAGAAGAACGGAGTGGATATTCGCCTTTGCATTGATTATCGAAGAGTTAACCAGCTGACGCGTCTGATGGTTTATCCCATGCCGTTGATCAGCGATCTGTTGGAAGATCTGGATAAAGCTCTATGGTACTGTTCGCTAGACATGGCTAGTGGATTTTGGGTCGTCGAAATGACCGAACGAGCAAAACTGATCTCAGCGTTTGTCACACCGTTTGGCTTGTTCGAGTGGCTGCGAATGCCTTTTGGGCTTAAGAACGCGCCCCAGATCTACCAACGTCTGGTGGACAATGCGTTGTATGGATATCTCAAGATCGGCCAAATATCAGCTTCTGATGGCCCGATCGACGTGTTCAAAGATGGAGAACCTGAGACAGATCGACGACCGTCTATACTGGGACGCCGATCTTACATTGACGATATTCTCATACCAGCCACGTCATGGGGATCTTTGTACACAAAAGTAGAACGGTTGCTGGAGGCATGTGATAAGTGGAATCTGTCTATCAGCCTCACGAAGAGCTTTTGGGGGTGCCGTAAGGTCGATTATTTGGGACATCGAGTGTCGATGGATGGTCTGGAGGCTCAGCCCAAGAACCTAGAGTCGTTGGTTAACATCCCGTTTCCTAGCACGCTACGAGCTATGCAATCCTTTCTCGGGAGCTTGAACTACTACCGTCGCTTCATTGAGGATTTCGCGGTGTATGCCGCGGTGTTGTATGAGTTAAGAGAATCGGATTTCTTCGAGATCGGCCGATCTCAGCTTGCAGCAGGAGACGAATGCTCCAACGAGGGTCGATGGACGGAAGCCAAGGTTGCTTTCACTATGCTAAAAGCTAAGATAGCTACAGCTCCCATGCTCAAGCATTTCGACCCAGATCGGTCCCCCGTAATCGTGGTCTACGCTAGCAAGTGGGCTGTCTCAGCGGCCCTGATACAGGAGTACGATGGCGTGTACCATCCGGTGACGTTTACTAGCCGCACTTTAAAGCCTAATGAGCTTAACTACGGAATGGTAGAAAAAGAAGTGCTGGCGCTACTTCGTGTGTTGGATGTATGCTATACTACGCTTGCCTCGCGGGAGATCACTGTACTGACCCGACATTCTACGTTAGCCTGGTTGATGCAGTCTCGAGGGCTCAACGGGAGATTAGGACGGTGGGCTGCTTTGTTGTCAAATTGGACTATGGAGGTGAAGAAATGTGAAAGAGGAGAGGAAGAAATCCTGGGCATGTTAGCAGCGAGTATCACTCCGAGAGGAGAGGTGGAAGAGATGCTGATTGCGATCTCCCCACGAAAAGACTGTCGACTCAAAATATCGATGCCTCCTCCAACGGTGGAAACAGATGAGGAGTTGCTGGTGGCCAGTTTCGATGGATCGGCTAGGATAAAAAAGAAAGGAGGGTCGTTCAGTGCCGTGATATGGAAGTTACCCGAATGGACGATCGTGGCGGCCGAATCGAGATATGTTCACGATCTGACTGTGAACGAAGCTGAGTATAATGGCTTGCTACTGTGCTTTGAGTTACTCGCCGGTCTGGATAGGGGGCGAGTAATACTGTGTGGAGATTCCAGTCTGGTGATTCGACAGATGCGCGGTGAGATCGACTGCAAGGCACCGGGCCTTCAGCTTCTGAGACACAAAGCGTTGGAGAAGCTGCAGTCATGGCCTAGTCACGAGTTTCTGCATATGAAGCGAGAGTGGAATCAGAGCGCAGATCGACTAGCCAGCACAGCATTGCAGATCGAAAAGGGAAGAACGGTTGTAGCTGAAGAGGATCGGCAAGATCAGATGACTCTGAACCGTCTCGATGAATTATTGAAGCCCAAGCAAGATGGTCAGCTAGCTCGGGTAACTGCGATCGCGAGATCAGCCAGGAGGATACGTCATGAACCTGAAGTGATACAGGAGGAGATAGTACAGAGGATCAGGATTCAACGAATTGTCCAAGCTCAAGATGAAGAGTGTTGGATTGTCAATCTCAAGACATATCTAAGTGGCGATGTATCAAACTTGGATGCGGTAGAAGTGAAGATGTGCGCCAAACTGGCGCCGGAATACGAGATCGATGAGAACAATCTGCTATTTTTTTGCCCCATGGCGAAAAGAGAGTCGGAAGATCGCGATGGTTTGATGCGGTTGGTGATCCCTGAGACGTTGCAGCAGGATTTTTGCATCACTATCACACGAGTCTGGAAGGAGGCCATCAGGGTATTGGCCGAACCTATCAGAGGATCAGATCGCGATTTCATTGGAGAGGACTGTATCGGAGCGTTCAACGATATGTGGGCGAATGTACCGACTGTGAGACCGGGAAAGGAAACCCGATGATTCATGGGAAATCCCCGGGCAATCTACACGCAACCTATCCATTCCAGATCATCGCCATGGATCATATACCGTCGTTGCCCAAGTCCATCAAGGGGAACACCGAACTGCTCATTTGGGTCGACCTTTTCTCGGGATATGTGATTGCAAAGGCTAGCTCCTCTCGGACGGCACAAACAATAGCGGAGAATTACGAAGAATGTGTGTTTCGACGCTTCGGAGCTAGCGAGGCTATCAGGCACGATCGAGAACCGGGATTTATGTCCGACTTCTTTCGAGCCTTCAGTCGGATCGTAGGACAAAAACAGCGTGCTACTATGGCTTACAGGCCACAAGCAAATGGAACAGCCGAACGAATGGTGCAAACCCTGACACATTCGCTCAAGATGTACGTGGCTGAAGTTGACCAGCGAGACTGGGATGAGTATGCTGAGCGGCTCACATTTGCCATTAACACTGCACAAGATCGGATCCGGGGGGATACCCCATTTTATCTGATTCATGGGTGGGACCCGCGATCGACTTTGGAGGCTACGCTACCAGTGGGGAATACGGGGACACGAGATCGCGATCCAAAGAGGTGGAGATACAAAATCCAAAGACAATACCTGCGAGCCCGATCTGCAGTGAACGATCGTTTACAAGCCGCGATACAGGAGCGAGCGGATCGACACAACGAAGATCTGGAACCACACGAGATCGAAGTAGGAGCGCAAGTTTGGCTATACCTGGACCGAGTTAAAGAGGGATATGCGAAGAAGCTAGCGCACATGTGGCATGGGCCATTCCGAGTTGCGGACGTATGTGGAGATCATGCTGTAAAATTGGAGATCGCTGGAACCCCATATCGGTTATTTCCGATTGTACACATATCGAAGCTAAAAAGGTAAAGACGTTCCCTGAACGCCCGAAGGATCAGCTTACGATAGAGGAATCAGATCGCTTGGATTTCGATGAAGCTCTGCTGCCGGAAGACAGTTGGGATGGCGATCTTGAAAAAGGGGAATACGAAGTAGAGGCAATATTGGACGTGCGATCTGGTAGAAAAACCCGTTATGGGCGAGTACACCGGCAGTTTCTGGTGAAGTGGAAGGGATATCCCGATCTAAGTTGGGTGGACGAGGCCGATCTACGTTGTGGGGCGATCTTGCAAGAGTTTGAGCGGAACCGAGTGAGTCGAAACCGTTTCGACGTAATGCAGTCTCATGAAGGCAAGTCGGACGAACCTTAACAGTTCGAACAAGTATGCGGGAGGTAGCATATGCGGATGTAGGGGTTGAAAGATGTGCTAGACGGTAGCACATGCTGGTGGATGAGGTTTTTGTATGTGAGTATGGAGATAGTCAAGTGAATTACCTTCCTGAATGATGTGGAGCGATGAGGATCGAGATCGTGGAAGCTGCAAAGAATTGAAGTACCAAAAAGAAGATGATTGAATGACTTACACGATTATGAAAGACGATCGGGCTTGAATATCGACCTTGGACTAAGACGATGGAGCAGGTTTGAACTTGTCCTGCAGACGAGGGATCTGCGATCCGGGATGATCTAGATGGCGCGGAGACCCAGGCCGATCGGGGACCGCTGGGGTGTGTCCTCCGAGATCGGGCGATCCGGGCGACATGTCGCGATCCGGAGACAGAAACATGGTGGGTCTTTCTGATGAGATCAGCGAGGCCAGTGGATGCGTCGGAGAGGCCATGAGACGGACTTGAGTGCTTGGAACGAAGTTGATGAGTGACTGTACTGAGGTCAATTGCTGTACAAAAGACTTCAGTACAGGGGGCGGTTGTGGCAAAGTCACTACTCAAATTTTGTACGAGGATCGGTGGCCACATCTTTAAAGCTCCGCTTGCTGGTGGAAAAGGAGGCGATGAGACTCGGCGATCCAATACGGAGGTGGAAGATGATCTTAACGGGATCGGCGAACCGATCCAACTGTCGTTAGACTAATGGGTATGAATCGACCTGGGACGGAGCGATCTGGAACGATTTACATGGAACAATCTGGGACAAGGATCTGGGACCGGGTGATGGGATATGACTCTGCGACGAAGGTGTAACATCTTGCAGAATGTTATGGGGCGATCTGGAACCAGACGTCGGGATGAAGTCATACAGCTCATTGGAATGCCGGTCAAGAAGAAGTATACGTACATTGAAGCAGGCTAAGATTAGATCGCAGATCGACATGTTGTGGCAACGGTTTGTTGGAGAATTGACACATCTGGGACAAGGTGACTCCCCAAAGTGCATCTGGGACCAGGTGGTACGGGTCGGTGAATCGGCAAAGAAGGTGCAACACCATACGGATCGGTGATACTCTACTGATCCTAAATTGGGAGTACTGATTTTGGTTAATTATACACCGATCTGGAAGTTTTGCATACTCAGGGGAGTCAAGGAAACCGATGTCGAGACGTATGAATGAAGTTGTCGATTGGATAACACTGGAGGATGATATTGAAGCACGTATGAGGAGATGAAAAAGTGTTAATTGCCGATTTAGACCGGATCGACCTCCAACATCTCGATATTGGATGACAGATCGGTCATTTTCCACACTGATCATGAATATATGTTTGATGAAGACACTGGATCATTTGGAATATACTTGGTAGAGGTCACTAAGTGATGTCAAGAAGTTTCACGCCGAAAGAGCCAGTGGAAGCTGTCCGAATTGACGTCGCAAAATGGATTTAGACGCCTTCGGCATTTGGGCACTATTTTGGGCTTTTGGGTACCAAAAATGGGTATTTGGTACCCCATTTGGGATTTGGTCCTCTTTTGGCGTTCAGGTACGGTATCGGGAATATTGGCGCTATCATTGGAGTACAGGGCACGAAATTTCGACACGTGGCAAGGGGGCGATCCAGATTCAAGGCGATATCGGTTTGAAGAGTGACCTATAGTTAAGAATAGGCTTAAGGATAGGTTGGAAAGTAATTTGGTTGGTTAATAAAACAGACTTGAACTCTACTTCTTCTGCTCACGACGCACGTTATCCTCCCCTCTTCTCCAGGCAAGATTGATTTGGCTTCCCCGGCGGGTTAAGGCACGCGTGTTACAGGGACACAGAAGACCGATCTTGGATTGTTGGCCAAGATCGAGAAGAGCGATCCCGGGATATCTGGCCCGGATCGATCAAGTACTCACACTCAACTCAACTGGTAGGGTAGCAGCACACAACGGAAAAGGAAAAGGATTTTGGACACAGGATCGCGAGACGGCTCAAGTGGTCAGAAGATCTGGACAAGGCGTTCAAGACAAGACCGAGCAGGATCGAAGCGATCCCCTGGACAGATCGGCACGTTTCACTTTGGCGAAACAAGACACCGATCTACCCAAATTGCGCACTTCCGGCAAGATCGGCCGATCCCAAGACCAGATCGGACCGATCCCAAGGCAAGATTGACGCAGGACTTTTATTTGTTGAGTGAATATTTCCGCACAGCAAAGACCCCGATCTCGAAGACAAATAAAGATCGGTGCGATCCAAGATCGGGATCGCAGAACCCCCGTTCGTGGTGTGAAGATTTCCGCACCGGAAGCGAACCCTCAACCCAACCTCTCAGCGAGATCGACATCTCCCAAGGCCGTTACGAAGAGCTCAAGCCAGCCCAACCGACGGGTACACAAGGTGAGCACAAGGTCATACAACAAGGCACGGATCGGAGTACCCCCTCCGTGAGTCGGCAAGTCTGGGCAAGTGGAAGATCGACACTCATACAAGCAATTTTGTGAGATCGACTTCACCACACTTGACTCTTCTGAGTATGCAAAAACTTCCAGATCGGTGTATAATTAACCAAAATCAGTACTCCCAATTTAGGATCAGTAGAGTATCACCGATCCGTATGGTGTTGCACCTTCTTTGCCGATTCACCGACCCGTACCACCTGGTCCCAGATGCACTTTGGGGAGTCACCTTGTCCCAGATGTGTCAATTCTCCAACAAACCGTTGCCACAACATGTCGATCTGCGATCTAATCTTAGCCTGCTTCAATGTACGTATACTTCTTCTTGACCGGCATTCCAATGAGCTGTATGACTTCATCCCGACGTCTGGTTCCAGATCGCCCCATAACATTCTGCAAGATGTTACACCTTCGTCGCAGAGTCATATCCCATCACCCGGTCTCAGATCCTTGTCCCAGATTGTTCCATGTAAATCGTTCCAGATCGCTCCGTCCCAGGTCGATCCATACCCATTAGTCTAACGACAGTTGGATCGGTTCGCCGATCCCGTTAAGATCATCTTCCACCTCCGTATTGGATCGCCGAGTCTCATGGCCTCCTTTTCCACCAGTAAGCGGAGCTTTAAAGGTGTGGCCACCGATCCTCGTACAAAATTTGAGTAGTGACTTTGCCACACAAGTACTTGCTACTGATCGTCGATGAAGGCAACGGATGCATGAAGGGTTTCAGTCTGCGCGCCAAGTCCGACAGCGAACAGTGCATCAAGAAGTACATCATGGCAGTACAGACGCAGTTTAACTACAAGGTCAAGTTTGTTCGACACGATGGTGCACACAAATTAGCGGCAAATTCGCTCTAGGCATTTTACGATGATCAAGGAATCGAGCAGCAGGTTACCGTTCCGTATGCGCATCAGACCAACGGCACGGCGGAACGGGCAATTCGGACCATTGTGACGATCGGGCGCAGCATGCTTCACTATGCCAAGCTGGACAAGTATTTTGAGGCTGAAGCAGCAATGACGGCGATCTACATCAAGAATCGTCTACCATCGCCTACGTGCCAAGATCAAACCCCGTTCGAGATCGTCAACGCATTTCGACCAAGTGTGAAGCATATGCGGGTTTTCGGCTGCCGAACATTTGCGCTGACCCCTAAGGAAAAGAGATCGAAATGGGATCCGAAGGCTCGTGAAGGACTATTAATGGGGTACGAAGAAGTGTCAAAGGCATATCGCGTTTACGACATTGAAGCGGACCAAGTGGTGATATCTCGCGATGCCACATTCGACGAATCAACGTTTGGTTTCTCGCCGACGCTACCACAAGAAATGGTTGATGACACTGCGCTGTATATCGAATCGATGAACATCAGCGATGAGCCTCACCCTATGCAGTTCAAACAAACTGGAAAACGCAAAATCCGTTCAAACAGTCAAGAACAAGTTCTACAACGGACACTTCCTGAGCGTCGTGGAACCGGGTTAGAAGAATCAAGTGCCCCGGATGACTTTGAATCACACCAAGCGAAGCGACGATCAAGCGCTCGAGACAATCTGGACGAAGAGCGAAAGGGCAGTGACGAAGATAACGAGGATGCTACACCTCAAGTCTTTTGGCGAGCGAGTGCCAACGCAGTCGAAGGTACTGACTTGTCTGAGCCGACAACGTTTGGAGATGCTGTGGTGAAGTCGATCTCACAAAATTGCTTGTATGAGTGTCGATCTTCCACTTGCCCAGACTTGCCGACTCACGGAGGGGGTACTCCGATCCGTGCCTTGTTGTATGACCTTGTGCTCACCTTGTGTACCCGTCGGTTGGGCTGGCTTGAGCTCTTCGTAACGGCCTTGGGAGATGTCGATCTCGCTGAGAGGTTGGGTTGAGGGTTCGCTTCCGGTGCGGAAATCTTCACACCACGAACGGGGTTCTGCGATCCCGATCTTGGATCGCACCGATCTTGATTTGTCTTCGAGATCGGGGTCTTTGCTGTGCGGAAATCTTCACTCAGCAAATAAAAGTCCTGCGTCGATCTTGCCTTGGGATCGGTCCGATCTGGTCTTGGGATCGGCCGATCTTGCCGGAAGTGCGCAATTTGGGTAGATCGGTGTCTTGTTTCGCCAAAATGAAACGTGCCAATCTGTCCAGGGGATCGCTTCGATCCTGCTCGGTCTTGTCTTGAACGCCTTGTCCAGATCTTCTGACCACTTGAGCCGTCTCGCGATCTTGTGTCCAAAATCCTTTTCCTTTTCCGTTGTGTGCTGCTACCCTACCAGTTGAGTTGAGTGTGAGTACTTGATCGATCCGGGCCAGATATCCCGGGATCGCTCTTCTCGATCTTGGCCAACAATCCAAGATCGGTCTTCTGTGTCCCTGTAACACGCGTGCCTTAACCCGCCGGGGAAGCCAAATCAATCTTGCCTGGAGAAGAGGGGGGGATAACGTGCGTCGTGAGCAGAAGAAGTAAAGTTCAAGTCTGTTTTATTAACCAACCAAATTACTATCCAACCTACCCTTAAGCCTATTCTTAACTATAGGTCACTCTTCAAACCGATATCGCCTTGAATCTGGATCGCCCCCTTGCCACGTGTCGAAATTTCGTGCCCTGTACTCCAATGATAGCGCCAATATTCCCGATACCGTACCTGAACGCCAAAAGAGGACTAAATCCCAAATGGGGTACCAAATACCCATTTTTGGTACCCAAAAGCCCAAAATAGTGCCCAAATGCCGAAGGCGTCTAAATCCATTTTGCGACGTCAATTCGGACAGCTTCCACTGGCTCTTTCGGCATGAAACTTCTTGACATCACTTAGTGACCTCTACCAAGTATATTCCACATGATCCAGTGTCTTCATCAACCATATATTCATGATCAGTGTGGATCATGACCGATCTGTCATGCCCAATTCGAGATTGTTGGAGGATTGACACAGTACAATCCGGCCATATATGTTCTTCCGTTCATTGTCCTCATACGTGCTTTATCAAAATGATTCTCCAGTGTTATCCATTCACATCCTTGCCTCTGATCACGTCTACAGAGTCATCGGTTTGCTTCACTCCCTGAGTCCCTCAAAACTTCCAGATCGCACCGTGGAAATCAACCAAATTCAGTACGCCCAATCTCAGGATCAGTAGAGCATCGCCTGGTCCGCATGGTGTTACCTTCTTTGCCGATTCACCTTCAACGTCCACATCCTGGTCCTTTGATCAGCCTATAGAGTGGTCGTTCAGGTTCAATCCAAGTCCCTCGTCTCCAGATCGCACCGTTGGAATCACCCCTGTCGACTCCCCGATCTCAAATCACGTTGCATCGCCTGCTCCTATGACGTATACTTCTTCTCGACCAGTGGGTGCCATCTTAACTGGGTGGAACTTCAATCCCGACGTCCCATGGTTCCAGATTAGTGACATTCTACCACATGTTACACCTTCGTCGCAGAGTCATATCCCATCACCCGGTCCCAGATCCTTGTCCCAGATTGTTCCATGTAAATCGTTCCAGATCGCTCCGTCCCAGGTCGATCCATACCCATTAGTCTAACGACAGTTGGATCGGTTCGCCGATCCCGTTAAGATCATCTTCCACCTCCGTATTGGATCGCCGAGTCTCATCGCCTCCTTTTCCACCAGTAAGCGGAGCTTTAAAGATGTGGCCACCGATCCTCGTACAAAATTTGAGTAGTGACTTTGCCACAACCGCCCCCTGTACTGAAGTCTTTTGTACAGCAATCGACCTCAGTACAGTCACTCATCAACTTCGTTCCAAGCACTCAAGTCCGTCTCATGGTCTCTCCGACGCATCCACCCACCTCGCCGATCTCTTCAGAAGGATCCACCATGTTTCTGTCTCCGGATCGCGACCTGTCGCCCGGATCGCCCGATCTCGGAGGACACACCCCAGCGGTCCCCGATCGGCCTGGGCCTCCGAGCCATCTAGATCATCCCGGATCGCAGATCCCTCGTCTGCAGGACAAGTTCAAGTCTGCTCCATCGTCTTAGTCCAAGGTCGATATCCAAGCCCGATCGTCTTTCATAATCGTGTAATTCATCCAATCGTCTTCTTTTTGGTACTTCAATTCTTTGCAGCTTCCACGATCTCGATCCTCATCGCTCCACATCATTCAGGAAGGTGATTCACTTGACTATCTCCATACTCACATACAAAAACCTCATCCACCAGCATGTGCTACCGCCTAGCACATCTTTCAACACCTACATCCGCATATGCTACCTCCCGCATACTTGTTCGAACTGTTAAGGTTCGTCCGACTTGCCTTCATGAGACTGCATTACGTCGAAACGGTTTCGACTCACTCGGTTCCGCTCAAACTCTTGCAAGATCGCCCCACAACTTAGATCTGCCTCGTCCACCCAACTTAGATCGGGATATCCCTTCCACTTCACCAGAAACTGCCGGTGTACTCGCCCATAACGGGTTTTTCTACCAGATCGCACGTCCAATATTGCCTCTACTTCGTATTCCCCTTTTTCAAGATCGCCATCCCAACTGTCTTCTGGCAGCAGAGCTTCATCGAAATCCAAGCGATCTGATTCCTCTATCGTAAGCTGATCCTTCGGGCGTTCAGGGAACGTCTTTACCTTTTTTAGCTTCGATATGTGTACAATCGGAAATAACCGATATGGGGTTCCAGCGATCTCCAATTTTACAGCATGATCTCCACATACGTCCGCAACTCGGAATGGCCCATGCCACATGTGCGCTAGCTTCTTCGCATATCCCTCTTTAACTCGGTCCAGGTATAGCCAAACTTGCGCTCCTACTTCGATCTCGTGTGGTTCCAGATCTTCGTTGTGTCGATCCGCTCGCTCCTGGATCGCGGCTTGTAAACGATCGTTCACTGCAGATCGGGCTCGCTGGTATTGTCTTTGGATTTTGTATCTCCACCTCTTTGGATCGCGATCTCGTGTCCCCGTATTCCCCACTGGTAGCGTAGCCTCCAAAGTCGATCGCGGGTCCCACCCATGAATCAGATAAAATGGGGTATCCCCCGGATCCGATCTTGTGCAGTGTTAATGGCAAATGTGAGCCGCTCAGCATACTCATCCCAGTCTCGCTGGTCAACTTCAGCCACGTACATCTTGAGCGAATGTGTCAGGGTTTGCACCATTCGTTCGGCTGTTCCATTTGCTTGTGGCCTGTAAGCCATAGTAGCACGCTGTTTTTGTCCTACGATCCGACTGAAGGCTCGAAAGAAGTCGGACATAAATCCCGGTTCTCGATCGTGCCTGATAGCCTCGCTAGCTCCGAAGCGTCGAAACACACATTCTTCGTAATTCTCCGCTATTGTTTGTGCCGTCCGAGAGGAGCTAGCCTTTGCAATCACATATCCCGAGAAAAGGTCGACCCAATGAGCAGTTCGGTGTTCCCCTTGATGGACTTGGGCAACGACGGTATATGATCCATGGCGATGATCTGGAATGGATAGGTTGCGTGTAGATTGCCCGGGGATTTCCCATTAATCATCGGGTTTCCTTTCCCGGTCTCACAGTCGGTACATTCGCCCACATATCGTTGAACGCTCCGATACAGTCCTCTCCAATGAAATCGCGATCTGATCCTCTGATAGGTTCGGCCAATACCCTGATGGCCTCCTTCCAGACTCGTGTGATAGTGATGCAAAAAATCCTGCTGCAACGTCTCAGGGATCACCAACCGCATCAAACCATCGCGATCTTCCGACTCTCTTTTCGCCATGGGGCAAAAAAATAGCAGATTGTTCTCATCGATCTCGTAATCCGGCGCCAGTTTGGCGCACGTCTTCACTTCTACCGCATCCAAGTTTGATACATCGCCACTTAGATATGTCTTGAGATTGACAATCCAACGCTCTTCATCTTGAGCTTGGACAATTCGTTGAATCCTGATCCTCTGTACTATCTCCTCCTGTATCACTTCAGGTTCATGACGTATCCTCCTGGCTGATCTCGCGATCGCAGTTACCCGAGCTAGCTGACCATCTTGCTTGGGCTTCAACAATTCATCGAGACGGTTCAGAGTCATCAGATCTTGCCGATCCTCTTCAGCTACAACCGTTCTTCCCTTTTCGCTCTGCAATGCTGTGCTGGCTAGTCGATCTGCGCTCTGATTCCACTCTCGCTTCATATGCAGAAACTCGTGACTAGGCCATGACTGCAGCTTCTCCAACGCTTTGTGTCTCAGAAGCTGAAGGCCCGGTGCCTTGCAGTCGATCTCACCGCGCATCTGTCGAATCACCAGACTGGAATCTCCACACAGTATTAATCGCCCCTATCCAGACCGGCGAGTAACTCAAAGCACAGTAGCAAGCCATTATACTCAGCTTCGTTCACAGTCAGATCGTGAACATATCTCGATTCGGCCGCCACGATCGTCCATTCGGGTAACTTCCATATCACGGCACTGAACGACCCTCCTTTCTTTTTTATCCTAGCCGATCCATCGAAACTGGCCACCAGCAACTCCTCATCTGTTTCCACCGTTGGAGGAGGCATCGATATTTTGAGTCGACAGTCTTTTCGTGGGGAGATCGCAATCAGCATCTCTTCCACCTCTCCTCTCGGAGTGATACTCGCTGCTAACATGCCCAGGATTTCTTCCTCTCCTCTTTCAAATTTCTTCACCTCCATAGTCCAATTTGACAACAAAGCAGCCCACCGTCCTAATCTCCCGTTGAGCCCTCGAGACTGCATCAACCAGGCTAACGTAGAATGTCGGGTCAGTACAGTGATCTCCCGCGAGGCAAGCGTAGTATAGCATACATCCAACACACGAAGTAGCGCCAGCACTTCTTTTCTACCATTCCGTAGTTAAGCTCATTAGGCTTTAAAGTGCGGCTAGTAAACGTCACCGGATGGTACACGCCATCGTACTCCTGTATCAGGGCCGCTGAGACAGCCCACTTGCTAGCGTAGACCACGATTACGGGGGACCGATCTGGGTCGAAATGCTTGAGCATGGGAGCTGTAGCTATCTTAGCTTTTAGCATAGTGAAAGCAACCTTGGCTTCCGTCCATCGACCCTCGTTGGAGCATTCGTCTCCTGCTGCAAGCTGAGATCGGCCGATCTCGAAGAAATCCGATTCTCTTAACTCATACAACACCGCGGCATACACCGCGAAATCCTCAATGAAGCGACGGTAGTAGTTCAAGCTCCCGAGAAAGGATTGCATAGCTCGTAGCGTGCTAGGAAACGGGATGTTAACCAACGACTCTAGGTTCTTGGGCTGAGCCTCCAGACCATCCATCGACACTCGATGTCCCAAATAATCGACCTTACGGCACCCCCAAAAGCTCTTCGTGAGGCTGATAGACAGATTCCACTTATCACATGCCTCCAGCAACCGTTCTACTTTTGTGTACAAAGATCCCCATGACGTGGCTGGTATGAGAATATCGTCAATGTAAGATCGGCGTCCCAGTATAGACGGTCGTCGATCTGTCTCAGGTTCTCCATCTTTGAACACGTCGATCGGGCCATCAGAAGCTGATATTTGGCCGATCTTGAGATATCCATACAACGCATTGTCCACCAGACGTTGGTAGATCTGGGGCGCGTTCATAAGCCCAAAAGGCATTCGCAGCCACTCGAACAAGCCAAACGGTGTGACAAACGCTGAGATCAGTTTTGCTCGTTCGGTCATTTCGACGACCCAAAATCCACTAGCCATGTCTAGCGAACAGTACCATAGAGCTTTATCCAGATCTTCCAACAGATCGCTGATCAACGGCATGGGATAAAACCATCAGACGCGTCAGCTGGTTAACTCTTCGATAATCAATGCAAAGGCGAATATCCACTCCGTTCTTCTTGATGATCACCACTATCGGAGACGCCCAAGGTGACGTGGATGGCTGAACGATTTTGGCTGCTAATAGTCCTTTGATGAGATCTGACAGCTTCTCCCGATATTTGGATGCGACCGGACGCACTCTTTGCGCTATCGGTGCTGCCCCACCGACATCAATATCACAGATCGCGCCTCGTGCTGCGGGTGGTAGAGCATTACCTTTACCCATGAGGAGGTGACGGCTCTTCCAGATCAGCGATCTGAGCCGTTGTTGATCTGTGGTGAGAGGCACATCGGGATCACCGATCTGAATGTCCTCAATCGTAACTTCTTCCGTAGTCGCCGACATCTCTGGTAGCACGGCCATATGCTGCTCGATATCTTCCGCAAACAAATCTCCGCTCTCGTGGTGATAAACTGGTATTTCTGCAATCTCGACGTCTTCAGTATTTAGCATTATTTCTTCTTTAGGCTCCTTCGTCTCTTCCGGCTGGCCCAATTTCAACAGTCGGTCAGTCGGCTCAGCCTTCGGTAGAAACGATCTGTCACGTAGCCCTTCTTGACCGGTGTCGCGGTCTCCCTTCGTTGCATGTTGGGTACCGATCTCATGACCGTTCTCCATCCGCGATAGTTCGGCTCCCCTGACCGTTACTTCCCTCGCAACTACAGCATCTGCCTTTTGCGAATCGTCATCGTTAGCTTGCGGCGTTACCGTGGAGATCGCCGGAGACAGGTTCTGTAACGCATCAGACGGACGTTTCAAGATGCGTTTGGGAGCGGCATACGTAGGACGATCTACCAATGGTCCGATCGGTTCTTTCGGGAGTTCGTTCACTCGATCCGTCGTAGCCTCATATGCCAGAGTTTGCCATTCCTTGTACTTCCCCGACCCGACTGTCACCAAACCTTGGGTTCGCGGTACCATATCGCCTTCGACCCACATGCCTAATATAGTGTGGGTGGGCAGTATGATCTCCCGGTCGCCAATGTTGGTCATCTGCAGGTATTTTCGTCTTACCCCCACCCCGAGATCACAGTGGGGACCCAATCTAGTCCTCTAGCGACCCACAACTTCATCTTAGCCCCTCCGATTCCGATCTTCACTTCCCTTGACTCTCCGACCGGGATCACCACGTGTTGGTCCTTCGCCGTTATATGTTGTATCTTCGATCCGTACGCGGGGCGACGTCCTGCGAGATGAATGCGGATTTCTTCTGGTAGACATAGCGCGCCATCCGCTAGATCGAGCCGCACTCCAGCAGGCACCATAAAATCCATACCCAGAATCGCTTCTTGCCCTGCCAGATCGCCTACCCATACATTGAAATAGTATACCAGCGATCCCGCGAGGGTCACCTTGATCTTGGTACGTCCTACCGTCATGTACGGAGCTTCTCCAATCCCGATACATTCTTGTCGTTGACTTTCGTCAATATTTCAACCGACCTCACGAGCAAAGGTGGTGTCAATGATCGACACTTCAGCACCAGAATCAAATAACAGAGTAGCTTTTACGTTGTTGATCTTGCCAACGGCTTTCGCTTGTTTGAACCACTTCCTGGGTGAATAATGTTTCCAGTATCCGCGAGATTCACCATAAGCGAGCTCGATCTCCATAGCTGGTTCAGATCGTGAGTACTCATCGATCCGCTTCAGATGGGACACGGAAGCGACACGTTTTAACTTCGAACGAG